CAATCACATAGGATATGTGTGGCTGATCCAACCTCTTCTAGGCACCTTAGACAAGTGGGATCATCTGTCAATCCCAATTAGCATTTTGGTATACACTGCAGTTATCATTTTCATTGTGAGGTGGAAGAAGGATGTGGTCTGAAGTAGAGGAGCAAGGAAAGGTATGTGGATCATGGTGCTATGCAATGGAAGGGGACCATGTGGTTATGAATAAGGTTTGAAAGAAAAGAGGTGAAAGCAGACTGCTCAGTTTGTTATTACAGTTGAAGTTTTTTTTTTTGGGGGGGGGTGACTGCTTCAGTGACTTACAAAATGATTCGAGGGCTGGAAGTTTGTATGTTTGCTGCAGCTTTTGGTTTATTGAATTTGAGATGATAATATCAGCTTAAAAAGATACATTCTGTGTGGAATTCTGACTTCATGTATGGGCAGAATCTGTGAACTTTCATTTCATACATAAGAGTTATTTAAAGTCGAGGGACCTGATAATATGGAAGTAAAATTCTGGTTTCTGTGCAGAGGTGTTGGGGATGAAACCAGTCCATATGATGTGCAATTTATTTCACATGCCTTTCCTTCCAAAGTCAAAAGTTGGTGAATATAAAGATACCCAACTCACAATTCAGGACCCATGTCAAGCTCTAAGTCTCCCACTGCTGCTTATCATCTTTGGTACTCATTTTTAAAGCATAAATCCAGCTCTCTGGAAATGTGAATTCCTGCTTTCTCCCTTGCCATCCACAGTTCAGGATGATCAAAGTTTGCATCAGTAGATGTTCATTGCAACTCTCAAGATTCTACCAAGCAAGTTGGCTCAAGTAATATTTCTGACTCATATTCTGGTGGTGTCCAGTTCGAATCTTGGCTGTGGCCCCATCAATCATAGTATTCAGCAAACATCATCATCATCATCATCATCATCATCATCATCACTGGCACGAGAGTCCTTTGTGAGCCCTGGCCTTCCTCAGGATTGCTCGCCATTCTTCTCTATTCAATGCTACATTCCTCAAGTTCTTTACACCCAAAATTCCTATGTCCTGCCACACACATTCTTCCCATCTTAACCTTGGTCTTCCCACTCTCCTATTTCCTTCTGGTTTAGTATTGTCGCGTATTGATTGTATAATGTGACAAATAACTTCACGCCGTATTTGATATAGCGAATTTTATTTCACATTCGCACTTACGATCACCAAAATTACAGATTCACAATTACTGCTATCTGCAGTATCACAAATACTACACTGCAAATGCCAGAATGCAACTGACTGGTTGCTGGCTAACTCGGAAGTCTCTCTGAACTAACTTGTAGGTAGCTGCCTTGAGAACTGTTGATAACACACTCTGACTCGTAGGCTTGCTCGGAACTAACTCGGAACTACAACTGAACTGGCTGACTGCTACGTTACAACTGACTCGTAGCCGCAGTGCTTGCTTGTTGCGTAATGAGTGCCTTGTCACAGTAGGAATCGGTGCCACATCGTCCTGTTGTGTCACCGCGCGTTGCGCGTTACGTTACCATGCCGAGGGGGGGAGGGGAGCGCTGACTCACCCGCCGCGTCACTGCTGGTGGGGGGGGGGTTCCCCCGTTGCGCAACATGTCACACTATTAAGCATTTTCTTAATAGTTCTATTCTCGCTGGATTATGTGTC